GTAAACGTTCGGGAGACGCCCGTAATTTGCTCGAACCGTAAAATGCGAAACGATACTGCACTATTTTCGATAACAGAATAACGGTTATGCAAAATATTATTACTTCGGGTTATGGTAAAGTCAATACTTTTGAGCCTTTATTAATATTTTACTTGGCGCCTTCACTATGAGTTATTAAAAGTACACTGGAAAATAAAAAGAAAGCAAAATAAATTAGAACAAAACGTTCACAAGTTCGACACAATTCACCACCTAACTTTGACCGTAACTTTGACGATAACGGTGCTTTTATATGGATTTTGACAGATTTTTGACGTTTGTCAAAGTTAAAGAAATATGGTGAAACCCAGCCTAATTATAGAACATATTAACAAGTGCTAAAAAGAAAGTGCAACTTCTTTAACCTATTTGAATAATAGATGGCGTTACACTATTATTTCTCGAAGTGATCTGAAATTACTGTATGTATATCATCTAAGAATGGCACCCCAGATCCAAAGAGTTCAATTCTCAAACCACTCGACAAGTTCACGTTGAATTTTTATCCTATAACAAATGATCTCACCTATCTACCTTCACCTCAACTGCAGGAAGCTAATAGAAAATTTCACAACGCATTGCAATCCCGCATTCCCATGGGCACCGTCCAATCGCCGAGATTTATAATCGCGCGAACTGAAAAATGGACGAAGGTGGATGATATAGGAGGCACCATGAACTGCCATAATTCAACCGCGTGTATAATTATGGCATAGGTGGTAAGGGAGACTGCTGACTTGCTTTTGCTTTAGCAGAGTGGTAGACATCGTGTGTTTTTCCAAGTTTTGTCTTAAGACATTGTCGGCTTGAATCGCCTCTCTCTCAATTCAACCTGGTTGTCCAAAATTAATGATGGACAAAATTATGATACTAAATTATCTTCTTCAAAGCTAATGAAATGATATTAGTTTTCTCTAGCAATTTATAAAATGAATGGTCAGGTTGTGATCTCACAAATTGTAATAAGATACAACTCACACACTCTCACATTAAAAAATAATATTAAAAACAAAAAAAGCTATTTTATTGTACCTGTTTTCTTAACTTACCTCTTTTCAGAAGTTTAAAAGTCACATGTAGACAACCAGCATCACCAGCCCAGCTTACACTAATAAGTATCGAATAATCCTTACCATTTCAGATGAGCTTTGTAAGAATGCGTTAAAAATAATCAAATACAGTTTCCGTGAAGTAGCTTAGTTTCATCTTACTTAAGCCAGTAGTAGAGAATATCGTTTCAACCGAATGGTGTAGCGACTTTGCACTAATAAATAAATAGCGTACTTTATACCGCAGTTTGCATAAATGGCATAGGGTTTCTCCTTTAGATGTTTCCGCATAGTTATGAGATTATGTTGATAAGCTGGCCAATATACGTCACATAACTTTCCATGGTATTATCTATTGAGTTTTATGCAGTGACTGAATTATCCACTTTGCTCATGAAATGTACAGGATGCAGTGTGAATTTATACAAGCTTGGATAGATATTGATACAAACTACAGCTATCACATGCCAAGCTTTTTTTACTATAATAATTACTAGGTGAGGAGCTAGAGATATTTACTTATTTAGTATTTACGAACCACCCTGTATGTAGGTCAATTCTGTACGAAAACTGGACTTGAAACTTGACAAGCGTAGGCACAAGACACGGAAAAGTTCATTGTATGCAAAAAAAATAAAAATAAACATTTTTAAGTATGAATAGGGGCGTATTCATAGTTTGAAAATAAAACACGACCGACACTGTCCGTGCTGGAAAAGAGTAAATAAAGCAAGGAAGGCACAAGAGAATTGTTTAATCCTATTTTCCGCTCAGAATAACCTAAGACTTTATTATTTCCTCGTTTTCAACGCAGCGTCAAAAGTACTGTAGATCCCACGCCAGTGAGCACGCTCCTTAGAGAGACGTATTACTAATATTTACCCGTCCGTGAATCTTGTTATCTGCCAATAACTGCATTCAATTATCGACTTAAACGCGTTGCCTTAAAGCCGTGGCAAGTATTCATAATTAATTCAGAGTTCAGACTGCAACTGCACTAGTCGAATCGATACGCGTTATGCGGAAAGCCACAGGTATGTAATGAAACAAACACTTTGACTTTGATTAAACGGTGTCCATTAGTTCGTGATTTCGAATGTCGATGTTCGGGCGGACTGCGACTAAGGAGTTTTGATACTTGATGTGTTATTTTCAGACAATAAATGAACTTATACTGAGTAAGAGTGGTTTCAGATTTGTATCACGTAGAGAAGCATAATGTGAAAGTAGATTATAGCATTATTATAAACTAAAAGTACTGACGATATTACTGTGTACTTATATCGTTGGTACGCAATTTCTTTAGCTTTTCTAATACTGGTTTGTGGCGCCGTAAGTCTTGTTGTCTTGTTTTTAAATGGTCTGTACCTATTACAACTCTGTACAGAATCAGATGACAGCACATCAGACTATATATTTTGTTGTAAAATTGCCTTTATTACTAAGGACATAAGAAGCCATGCTTAACTTGACTTGCTCTCGTCTGTACATAAGTTGCTAAAGTATTATGTATTAACAGAACATCTTGTTATTTTTACTGTGTCATCCCTAGTTGGTAGTCCATATTAATAAATTCCTCACCGAAATCCGAAAGGTTACGTGTCCATGGAACATTATAATGGTTAAAATCGTTATATTCGAAAGGTTACTTTTGGTACTTATTATAATTCTGAGAATATTTTAATATCCGCATAACATTTTGCTGATGTAAATAATTTGGTTTCACGATGTACAGTCGCAGAATGAAAAGGTTCGTCACCTTAGTGTCGGTTTTCGCTTGCACTAGGTACTGTGAGAGTCAAACCTGCCAACATAACAGTGCAAGAAACAGTGCTGCTAACATTTAAATAAATATGACGTTTGCAAACGAATAAGGTTTTGCTTGTTTATTTTTTTATCCCATCAGTGCAATGCAATGATGACATTGACCAATTGACAATAGTTTTTTTTATTTAACCCTTAACTGGTATCGTAAATTGGACATACGTAACTGGTATCGTGGGGGCCGCGCGGCCCCCATACTATGTTTGCTTCTAGCAAGCATGTTTTACCTATGTACTTGAACAAATGCTCATAAATGATATATATCAGGCTTTTTCTATGTAATCATTTAGTTTTTATTGTAATTAATCTTCTTACTTATATACTTCAAGACATTACATAATAGCAACAACTTTTTACGTAATATTTTTTTAACGTTACAAATATCTATGAAACCTACGTTCAGAAAGTTATAATCAAAAATATTATTATTTTAATTAATCCATAATAATGTGAACTTAATAATAAATGAAGTTTTAATGTAATGTTTAACAAAAATAATAAGCATTTTATAAAAATAAATATATAAATGTTATGTTGACAAACATTAGCAGGTGCTGGTGGATTTTCAGACCACTTGTATTTATTCTTTTATAGTAGCTGGATTGACTAGGTCCTACAACATCTTCATTTTCACTGTCTGAAGAAAAAACTTGAAAATCAGAATCAATATCCTCATTATCGACCGAATATTGGTTATTGGGTCTTCACAATGACCTATAATTTTATTATCACTATATCCTTGTTCTGACATGCTACTAATCACTAATTTGGAATCAAAAACTTCGTTATAGGTATCTTCTATTGTTTTATCACTAATAAGCCATCAATACTGCAAGAAAACAAAAAACAAATAAAAATTGCCATGAAAAAAAAAAATTACGTAACTAGTATTGTGGGGGCCGCGCGGACCCCAACACGTGCATATCTTCGTCCTGGTGAATGATACAGTGCTGAAACGCCTGCACCAGATGCGAGTAGCGCCGAAATGAGAATACCAAAAATTTTGGCTGCCCACGATGCGTAGCTTCATAGAAATCAAAGAAAACGTCATGCGTGGGGGGCGCGCGGCCCCCACGATACCAGTTAAGGGTTAATAAAAATAATAATGGCAGTTTGAACCAACAAGAAGGTTTTAGTTTATCAATCATAATAATCTTCTTGACAAGATTAATCTTTAAACAACTTTGATCTGAATAATTTTGAACTTTACTGACGAACAGATAAAGATTATTTTCTCTAACTCGAGATTATTCTGTAACATAGTTTCAAAAGGTAATATGTGCTCGCGATTCGTTGAAGGAATCAATTTGAAAACTGACGAACCTTTTCATTCCGTGACTGTACTTTCTTGGAAATATTGCCACGGCCTCATTCATGGTTATGTACACGTTTATATCATTTTGTTTAGTGGTGTCTGACTCTGCACTCGTTATGTACAAATAGTGTTAAAAATAGGAAAACATTTTAGGATAGGTTGCACCATCTTACTTTAACTTTAACAAACTGTCTGTCAAATTTCATATAAAAAACACCGGTTAATGTTATGGTTACGGTTAAAGTAAGGTGTTGCAACTCAGCCTTATTGTTTTTCTGCTAGAAAATGAGTGTGGTTGCTTTTGTGAAAAGGGTTAAAAATAAAATTGTATAAAATTTGGATTTATTTATTTAGAATCCTTGTTTGTAAACAGATTTGTAAACTTACAAGTAAGGTCTGTTTTAAAAAAATATAAATATTGCTACAAAAAGTTACTGCAGTATATGGCTAAAACAAATTAAAGGAAAATATGAAATATACAGCTTAACCATTAATAATCACAAGTCTTAACACAATGCGCTAATTGTTAACATCAAAATGTGTGAAGTCAAAATTCTACCTGAGCGTTCATAACATAATTTGATTATAAATAAATTACTTTCATAACATTTATTTTGAATAAAGAATTATTTATTGAATATACAATAATTTTCAAAAGAAATATATTCTATCTACAATATACAAGTAACAAACATTTATCTATATACATTTAGTAGTTCGGACTAGTTAACGATCGAAATCGAAAATGTGTCGTAAGGATTTTTTTTACAAAATGTACACAAAAGAACACCTTGTAGCAGTCGGGATAGATGTCAATATGGCTTGAAACTGAGTTGACTTATGCTATGTTACATGGTCTATATTGGAACTATTTGTTTGTCTAAAATAGCTAAAATCTTAGAGACATACATTTTATTTTTACTTCTCTACATTTCTGCACAAAATTCGTTCCTCAAAACCATGTAACATTTAATGACGATGTACATTTGAAGATGGTTTTCTTAAAAATGTCAGTCATCTCAGCTCTAAGCTTAGATAACACTGTAAAATCATCAAATTGCAAAATCATGACTCGGAAGATATGAGCGAAATTTAAAATTTCACACTCAAGGGCACTACACTATACTGTACATGCGGGCCACCGCATAAAGCTCTCTTAAAAAATTACAAAAGGTCAACATATAATAATTAACCTATCTATCAAAGTATTTACAATTATTGCTATCAAACGACGCGCTTTCAACGCTCCAGTTATTTCCATGAACTGGCTTATTGCCTCCGCTACAAATTAAATACAATATCAGCAATGCTTTTTTAATTACGCTCTGTTCGAAATACCATTGGAAAAGTCGAAAATGAGATACCATCGCTTTTCATTGCACCCGAAAACCCAGCACAAAATTATCTCCAACCATGCTGGTATTTACAACAAAGCGCGTTATAAACTTACAAAGCAACTAAAGCCTAATTGGCGCCTCAGTGATATGCCATTAAATTCATTAACGGAATGATAATAAGAGCGACCTCAAAAAGTTTCATTCTGAAATCGTAACGAATAACTTATTTAATAAATATTCACAGTTGAATTAACATTGGCCGGCGCAGTTCGCGTGGACTAAAATAGTTACTACATGCGGCCATTACCAACAGATTCATTCTGGTCGGTTAAAACCCATTATTGAATACGCAACTCATTTTTCCACATAAATTCGAATACAAAGTAACGATAAACTAACGCATTCCTCATTAATTAGGCCCATACTCGTTCGCAAGATTTTATATAGATCTAAGAATCGAATAACTTTGGAAAGACCATAAATATTATCGGACATTAATTTAGTCACATACATCGATCACTACTTAGCGCCGCCCGTACGCTCAACAAACTCGTAACCGAAATTCAAAACACTCAGTCTTTATCATTAATGTTAACGTAGCAGATATTGTCTGTGAAACTTGGTGATGTTTGGCGTGCCCGCTAGTTATTGTCCTGTTGGCTTCCGAGCGGTGGAGGGTCGGCGGGGGGAGCGGAGGAAGCGGGCGGCGCGGCCTGCGCACGCGCCCGCGCCGGTTCCTAGGCCAGCGCGGGCGCGGCGGGCCGCGCTCAGGGGCGGTGGGGATGAGCCGAGCTCAACGAAGAACTACTCACACCAGAATCACTACTCTTCTCGGAAGCACACGGCTCCCCACCCGCCACGAACTTCACCACGTTCAACCTATGATCAGACTCACAGGTATCATCTCTAGCCCCACCCGGTAATCCTACAGTACGCCCTGTCGTCCTTTCCACACCGGTTCCTGGATAACGCTCGATTCTGTCGCATTCCAGGTCGTCAGGTTGTCGCCGTCGAATCGACCGCTTTGCTTGAGGAGCAGGATCTGGTGGCCTGTGACTTGGCTCATCTGCTCTATGCACAAGAGGTGAAGTTCTGACGCGAACTCCGCCTACTCCAACGCCGGCTTCGTAGCAACCAGAGTCACGGGGAAATTGACGACGACCGAATGGAGATTCACCTCCTTCCGAGCTTGATCCACCACCTTCACCCTCACCGTCACCTTCTCCACCTATTAACAAAACAAAACGTCATGTTTAAAATGAAAATTAAATAATCATAAGAGTTCAAATCCATGTAAAGGGCACAATCGTGCTAGCTACTTACATTCAAGCTTATGCAGAAGTTGCACAGCGGCAAGGATTCGAGTGCGATGGTCTGGAGTCATTATGCCCAAGTAGTCAAGATCTGACGGTTCAATCTCTTTAAATAATTCTATATCTTCATATCCATTTCTAGCAAAGGCCACAGTATATTCCGGCAGATCTATTCTTCTTAGCAGTTCTTCGACGCTCCTTGGCCGTGTCTCCCATAGTCTTTCACGGCTCTTACACCATTTTGAGGATCGAGATCGCATTGTGTCTCTGTCTGACAGAACTTCGACATTGGCAAACTTGAAGTTCCCAACTTTGTTGTTCAGCACACCCCGCCAGATGCCGGACGCATTCATGTTAATTACTTCTATGATGTCCCCTTTCTGTTAAGAAACATAACCTCGTTTATATGCTGTATGAGATAAAAAAAAAAACAAAAAAAAGATAGAATGAAGTCATCTTACCTTGTATCTTAGGGCATCTTTCTCATAAATATTGGGTATATAATCGACGAGTGCCCGCGCCCGACACAGCATCTGAGGCACGAGTAAGCTCCGCCCGGCCGGACTTAATTCTATGTTTTCTTCTGCCGAGAGAGATGAGTGATTACTACCAGCGCGAACCAATGCTTGTGTGCCTGTACATAAACATTTACTGACATTTAAATCTCAATTTACAGCCTTACATCTCGATCAACACATTAAAAACAAAAATACCTGCATTTACATCATTGCATGACTGTGAATAGGTAGGAATATGTTAATCTAAAACATTCTGGGTAGTAATGATACACTATGATTAGTAGGAGTAGGGTGAATTCTATATTTACATGAATATGTATCTGTAAGTAACATGAGGGGGCGTTATGGTACACAGAAAGGAAAGACAACAATATTTACAAACAACGTTTATATTAACACAGACAAAGAACTCAATAAATCCACTCACTACTGCCTGATCCGCTGGGAAGACTTTCGAAAGAACTATTAGAACATGGGAATGCTTGATCGCCGCTCGTCCGCCGATCGCTTCCTTCAGGACCCCTTTCTTGTCTTAATCTTGATATTTTCCTTTGTACATCCTGCCTAAGTCCTCTTACTTTTCCCGCTAAATTTGAAACGCCTTCACAATCTTCCTCGGACTGAAACGATAACAAATAACTTTATTAGGGTAAGGGATATCAAAATTAAAAGCGTGGAATAGTTCTCCAGCAATTTATTAGGAAGTAGAAAATAAGTAAGAAATAATTGACAATAGCGATTTGGAAATGCTGCCGTTACCTGGTGAACAGTTGCTATGTGTTGCGAATCAGTTTCGCTTTCCTGGTCTTCGTAATCCGACGAAGCGGGCGAGAGCGGGTCGGCACCTATCCGGTACCCTGACATTTGCCTGTATCCTCTTCTCGAGTCGCGCTCCGAGCGGCTGGATTCTAGCGAGATGCCAGATAGTCTGGAGCCTATAGATTGAATGTCAGACGCAGCGTAATCCCCGCTTTCCCGATCTCTCGCTGTTCGTAAAGGGATCACTGTGGTAGGGTAGGGGCCGCTCTGCGGAATTATTAATCCCCTTCGGGGCGCTCTCGCTAAACTTATGTCGCCGGCACTTCTGAGCGATATCACACCTTCACCTCTCGGCTCGTTTCGTAGATTCAACGTGAAGCAAACTCGGCCATTTTGGAACGACGCAGCTGGAGCCCCGCCGCCCATCAGAAAATCTTCCGGGTCACTTTCGTACGGAGGTTCGTCGTACCAGTGCCCTCTTCCGGTCAACCCTCTCGCCTCATCGTCGTACATATACGTGTCGTCTGTAAACGAGTTCTTCATTAAACCACGGCGTAGTATTCCAAAAGTGCAAATAAAAAGTACGTGCTTAAAAAAATGCGAAAAAAGTTTACCGTAAAATGCTTTTCCAGAAAATGGCGAACTCACTGACAACACTGCAGTTTAAGCTGTGTACGAACATTGTAAGCCGTGCGTGGTTTATGCAAAATATCGTTTTTATAACAACATGCATTTAGCATTTGTCGCAACATAATCGGATGGATGGAGGTGATGTTCAAACATTTCCATTAGTCGTTATGGTTGAGTTAACTCGACATCTTTCCTTTTTTATTGAGTATTTTTTTATTCTTCATGGATGTTTGTATGATAATGAAGATGCACATCAAAAGCATGTTAACTAACATTGAAAGTCCGCCGAGAAACATTTACTTACAAAAGAAGCATTCCGCAACACTGACCAAGTCGTAAAATATCGTGCAGGCGACATGCGGAACAATTGACGTTGACCAAAACAAAAACATTTTCCTGGTATTTTGATTAAAAATAAAATAAAACAAAACATAAACATTGCTGCAAAAATATAAAACAAAACAAAAGTACAAAATTTGGAAGCTTACGAATTTGCACATCAATCGAAAAGCAAAGCAGAATTACTAATTTCTTGATTGTTATATGAATCAAAATATCAAGAAGCCACTATTTATTGAAAATAACAATAACAATTTGAATCAATATTGAGGAAAAAATCTTATTATAACTTTTAAAGAATATGAATGATTTTAATGTCAAAGAACTTTATGAAAAAGTAAAGGTGTGTAAAATATAGTGTTTCAATGAATGAAAACATACCTCCAAAAGGGCCTCTGACTCCATCCCTTCCCATGTTCATAAGACCATGTCTTATGTCCCGTAATATCTGTAACAATGATGAATACATTAATGATATACCTTACAGATAACGCATTGATTACATAGTATCAGAAAACTTTATGATAGCCTATAAGGCAATTCGAGAAAACAATTTTGAAACAAATGAATAGCAAAATGATAGGTAGTGGCAGAATAAGTTATCATCTGCTAAATATCGAATAACTAGCAAGATACTCAAAATTGAGCCCACAGAAAGTTAATAGATTCGACTCTACATTACTTATTGAATGTTCTGAAATAACAATCTAAAAATAATGCTGAAATAGATATGACATCTATCTCATTAACAGTGTGCTTACCATGAGTTTACGTTAGGTGTGCTCGCTAGCGACTGCGTAAAAAAATGACATTTAATTGTATGACATATTGTGCAGCGCCCCTAGCGGCTACTTTCAAGAAACAAAATCTTCATAGAGATTTTTGACGTACTCGCTAGCGAGCACACCAAACGTAAACACACAGATGGTACAAATTTCGCGTCCATCACAAAACACGTAAACATTTTATGAACTTTTAAGGAAATAAGAACATTTTATACCCCAATAAATACTGAAGCGAATAGTCTAACTAAACCTATAAATATTTGTTTAGGAGCTTACTCGTAAATGATGTACTAGTTCCGATGTAGTACGTCATTTACCTGTGAAATATTTTCGTGGCGATATTTCCTTTTAAGAATGCGTGAACACGGTTATAAATATTCAACGGGGGTAATAAAATGGCCACTTTCTCGTAAGTAGAAAAGTATTGAACATTAACTTAATTTATGCACACTTTGCCTCCGACGCGGTGCGCCGACTACACGAAAGGGATTTGCGTGTCGTTCTGTTCAACCACAGTACAAATTTATTCAGAAACTAGCTGCGCCCGCGACTTGGTACGCGTGAAAACCCGTTTTAGCAATATTTTTCATTTTTGCTCTGCACCTATTACTCGTAGCGTGATGGCCTTCCTCGATAAATGGGCTATCTAACACTGAAAGAATTTTTCAAATCGGACCGGTAGTTCCTGAGATTAGCGCGTTCAAGTAAACAAACAAACTCTTCAGCTTTAAAATATTAGTATAGTATAGCTTTACTAGAATACCAAACTGTCTTGAAGGCGTTTCTCTCTTTTTAACGCGTTAAAACTAAGATTTTTAAAGTATTTAATAGTCTAATACTTATTTTAAATTCAATGGGACATTGCCATTACATTAAAGATAATAAACGAAATAGTGACGATCTGTCTAAGATACGTTGTCAGTTTTGATTCTTCAAACTTCATTTTTTTTTTCAAAATTTAGTCAGACTCGGAATTCGACAAATATTTTGTTGGTAGGTTAGTTTTTTGTGTGGCTTTTAAACTTCTTAAAGAGTAAAGTGAATTTGCTACATCTACTTCCACTGTGTACTAGTAAATGAGATTTTATGTTGCAGTCTTAGACAAGGCCCGTCAAGCTTTGTAGCAACCGCTGCATTTGTTTTCAGACTGATTTCACCTGTCTGGGTATTTCCAATGGTAGAGCCAATTAAGTTGAAAACTTAAAAACTTTGATATTTTGAACAAGAGTTCAAAGGTACTGGTGTGATACTCACTTATTCACGTAACCATTCGAATTTTAGGCCATGCGGTAAAAATATCGCCCGAGCCCCACATAAAAACGTAGTAACCTTTACCTCAATATTCCATAACTGCCAGAATCAGAATGGTTCCAAGCATGTCACAACGTGAGCAGTTTATTGACGTAGTAAAATTTCAATGTTCGATATTCCGAGTATCGCGGTCCGTAGTTTTACGAGCGCTCGAAATGAGCTGAGCAAGGGCTTCCGAAGTTTCGAAGGGAAGCGATACAACTGCCCTTAATAGGCTTAGCTTGAGATTAGGACACGATTAGCCCACGGTCGGCTCCTCGAATGTTCAAGCCAGTTTACAGATTACAACTAACGACTCTCGCATCAGATTAGTTTTGAATGTGTGCGTAGCTTTTTCGTGTGGGGTGTTATGGGGTGCATTACGTTTAGCTCCCATTTGAGACTTAGCGATTAGTTGTTGTGTGTGATTCATGTATTTACCTCTTCCTGCTCCCTTGCCAACTTGTCTTTTTTCTTCATCGCCTCTTGTACCTTTAACTGAAACAAAATAAAATCACGTTAGCAATAGGTACTATTGATAAATCTCGCGAAATATCTGATATTCACATATTTGTCAATATTGGTATTTGATTTTGGGAGAGCTCTTAAAATGCATTGTAATGAGAGTTGGTCACCGTCAATTACTTCATACACAGAAATGTAACAATATTTTACTAGCATTTACAATTTATTGATAGGAAAATGCGACACATTGCACTAGTATTCAAATAAAACGTGTGGATGTAGTTGAAAACAATATCCCGCTACCATTTTGATGTCTAGTTACTATCCAACCAAAATTGGCGTACTTTATACCATATCAATTTGTTTACATACAAAACATACTTCATCTGAAACAGTCATTTTCGTTTTTAAATGAAATCTGTGCTTAACATGCTCTCATGCATTCCTAGGTGACATGTTCGTGCAAAAACTAAGTAAGTCGTGCATATAAAGTGCAAACTAATGAATGGTGCTAAATAAATTAAATGCATATGACACAAATTAATGCGATTATTTTCTAAGAAAGTAATCCACATTGCTATTAAAGAATTGCTGATCATTTAATTTCTTACACAAATTAAATGACCAGTATTGGATGAAAATTTTAAACCACCTCCAATTCTTAAGGCATGCCGAATAAATGTACCAAAATTGGGCCGAAATTTTGAATTTTGATTTCTCTGTTACGACTCTGTTGGCAAATTACAATAATAATTATAGATAGAGTATATGAATAAATGTCTATTACAATAATCCCAACTAATATTATAAATGCGAAAGTAACTCTGTCTGTCTGTCTGTCTGTCTGTCTGTCTGTCTGTCTGTCTGTCTGTCTGTCTGTCTGTTACGCTTTCCCGCTTAAACCTCGCAACCGATTTTAATGAAATTTGGCATAGAGATAGTTTGAGTCCCGGGAAAGAACATAGGATAGTTTTTATCCCGGTTTTTGAAACAGGGACGCGCGCGATAAAGTTTTTCTGTTACAGACAAAATTCCACGCGGGCGAAGCCGCGGGCGGAAAGCTAGTTTATTATAAAATACACAAACAAAATAATTGATTATTTAGATAGTAAAAGTATAAAAATTTAATGATGATAGTTGTTTAAATATATTTTATTTCTACTAGCACAAAGAAGTCTACAAGCATAATGTATACAAAAATAGCTGAATACTATAAAAATATACACATAAAAGCTTGCACTTATCTAATAAATTGATAAACATAAATATATTAGCCCACTAAGACACTATTGAATAAAATGTTTTGTTTATACCATAAAAATAATTTAGGCGCCTATTTTTAACTCTAACAAAGTTTTAAAAACACAATGAATAGAATTTGCCATACAGAGCTTAACAGAAAATAGCTACGCTAGCATTACGTTGGACAGATACGCCATATTTGATCCATATATTACACACATTTATTGTTGAAACAAAAAAAAAATGAATGTAAGCAAAAATGTCAAAGGTGATACAAAATAGATTTTAGAAAGTAATTATCATTTTCAAGACATTAAAGTTGAGACTAAAAAACCAAAAACAATTGCACAGATAAGCACAAATAATAAATAAGAACATAAAAATGAAATCGTATCTGTCAAACATGATACCAACGCTGCCTACAAAGCTCACCCTATGAATCGTCTCTTCGAAGGTGTTTGGTTGGGCGGCGTTCATTTGTAAGAAGCGGAGGCGGTCGTAATCTCGGGGGTCCACCATGGACCTCAGGGCCGTGTCTGGGCCTGGCCCTAGGCCCAAGCCACTTTGTAGCACGCTGTCCGGTGTATCCACCTAAACGAAAATGTTTACTGGTGATTTTTCGAACTACAGGCCGAGTAAATGCCAAAATATACAAAAAAGTCATGAGAGAACAGATCACACTAAATCTTATTGAATTAAGCTTTAAAGAAAGCATTTGATTGCGTAGTTATTGACTACACTAGTACGCTAAAAATCACTATGAAAAACAATAGGTATTAATAAAATTATGTATTTTAATTCAATATTAAGAAATCTCTCTTTATGAAAGAACGTAACACTAATTTACAAAATAAGTAAAGGCTACTTCAGGGTACTACACTGGGCCCGAGATTCAAGCAATCGAAAATGTGATATATTTTTTTTATCTCTTTTAACTCTACCTACTTCAAAACCCAGATCCCTGTAGCATGATATCCAGTAGGCCTACCTGAACATAAAGTTTCAAACTTGTAATTTATCGGGGATTCGGGGAACGAACTTTCATAGTTTCTGTAAAGTTTTTGTCGAACATTAAACCATCCCAGTTTAATAGAACAAGTTTGTTACAATCTCGATTTAAACGTTTTTCTCTGTAATTGATTTATTGTGTTTTGAACGTAGCTGCGTAGTATTGAAAAGTTAACGTCATTGACGTAATTCAATTTCAAACAATGATTTTAAGCAAGAATGTTTCTAATTGGTAAGTATTGTAAAAACTGCCAATTTTAAACCCTAAAAACCAGTTTTAAAAAATAAATTATTCATTCATCTGAAATTCCATACGATATTACTTTAAAATTTATAGCAGCTTGCCAAATTGTGATCATTTATCACACTTCGACTTGTCATCGTACTCATAAAGATAGAAGCAAATACACCGACTTCCTTGGAGTAAAAACTTTTTCCTGAATCACGCCAGTCTTTATAATATCATGATAAATTAAGATCGTAAAGTTCATGAAAGTAAACTTGGTAAGCAATTTCAGTTAATTGCATTACCAACTAACCAGCAATTTCCGTAGGTTTATATTCAATGTTCGAGCAATATTACAAACGGATATTAAAATTTTCATGTTCAATAAACTAACGCCTTGAACGTTCTTCGATAATAATTAGAGTTTCTTGCTTGTGTTAGTATTATTTTGTAGATAAAGTTGCATTATTTACGGCGTTTCATTTACTACCTGTGCAAACTGCATGATTATAATTAATTTTCCTTTATTTTTATTAGAACTTTAGTTTAAATCAACCATCATTATTACAAGGTTGAGAAAGAATTTTGATTCATTGATCAATTTGAAAACAAGAAAATGTATAACTACGAAAGAACCACTTTTCCTCAAATCTTTAATATTATTTCAGTAAGGGTGGATTCGACCAAACAAGAGTAAATATTTAATATCAGAATCAATCGTCAGTATACGAGACATTTTGACATATTATTTCATACTGAAACTGTAAATGTGCCAGTTATACCAGGAGTTATTCTCGAATAAAAGTTTGGTTGAATTGGGCCTAAGTAATACTAGACTAAGTAACTACATTATTCTAAGACAAAAGCATTGTACGCGGTTATTGTACTCCACACCCAACACAAACAAACCAAAAATCGTTAATTGCCACTCCGTCGACTTTAAAACTAGCTAAGGGCAGACAAAAACGGTACAATTTATCATTTTCACTTAAGGCCGGAAAAAGCTAAGGATATCTGAATCACAATGAGGGTATGTACGGACGAATCGATTAATCATAGAGCCACAATGCTCGCCCATTAACTTCGCACTTGATAAGGGAATTATATGAATAGCCGACAATAGTCGGTCTTATAATGTGACAACCCTACAGGCTGAAATCCGACCGTGCTAAATTTATTGGGCGGCTATCAAATTCACACAATTCCTTTTTAAAATAACAGTGTTTTGGCCGTCTTTTTAATAGCAAACCTTTTTGGACCCTCAGTTCAACAGAATATTATCTTTAAAATGGGTTTTCATTTCGCTTTACATTTTTAGATTACAGTAAGCAGTTTTTGTGGCAAAATTATACTTATTACAAGAACGTTTCAACAGTGTTCAACTCGATGTACCATCGTCGGTAACTCGGTACTGTTTGTATTTCTTAACAGGTAATTTCTTACATCTCACCTACGATAAGCAATACATAATTACATCTAATGAACAGAACACAATACAAAAAGCGAAAGCCATTTTAATGATCAAACATAACACAACAAAAGCCAGTTCAAAAAAGACAATGCCGATGAAAACACAAAACAAATGAAACTGTTTAGAACAACGTATAAACGATAGAACCGGTAATGTATCAAATCAGCAACATACGTTTGACAAACAAACACCACATCAATCAGTCTACTACGAACAACAATGATTGCCGAATACACGTTTCATCAGTTCGACGTGTCACGCTTTGATATTATAAAGGGATGTCCTCACTTTGGGTATTGGCATCCAAATGTGTTGGCTCAGTGAAGTCAGTCTTCATTTGCGAACGACATTTGATATAATTATTTTATAAATGTGCTAAATACGTAGCGTGAGAGCTATGGCCGTCACTAATAGAAAAAGAAGAAATAGTAGATGACACAAGAATAGTTCAAAGTGTATAGAGATAGTTCTTAGAGACAGAAGATACTTTCTTGTATATGGGGCTATCATGGAGCGTCACAATAAAGAAAACGATGACGATGTTGCAATTATGTAACTAAGTCTTTTGATCTAGGTAACTAACGTGAATGATTCTAAAAGTGATCACCTCGATGAAGAACGCCAATAAAACGTCAAATGAGATTGCGAAGTTACAGTTTGTGCTCATCAATGAGTTTCACATGCGAATGCTCGCGTTACGAACGCTGCATCCGCGAAATTAATGTTTTCCCGCGAGAGTCTGGCATCGAGTGGAATTGTTATTATGTATCGAGATCTAATTTTGATTGAATCGTTTGAACGTCCTCATCGATACTGCATCCGACACTCGATAATTGGTTCGAGCATTGAGAGACAGCCAATTATCAGTTCATTAAATTGATTCACTCATCTACGTAGTGTTGTTTTGAACACTTGATACAATGAAAATTATAAACTTAATAAATAAGGGCTGGTTAAAACTTAAAATAACCTAAAGGAGATAGTGTCACACAAAAAATTAAATACCTAACGGGATTTTAAGAATCCCTAACTTGCATAAATCCAAAACACGACATTATTAATGTAGCACAATATCAAAGTACTTATATGTATAAACAATAAAATTTTACAAAGATTTTAAGTTATCAATCTCAATCATATTTTACTTAACTATCTCCAATCCTTTAAAGTGATATAATATGGTTCAACAAATAGATAGACATAAGATACTACATTACTCATTGTCATAAACAAACCTGAAGATAATATACAAACGCAAACAGAACCAAAAGTAACAAGCAAACAGCTATAACTAAACGAATCTGATAAATATATCTACATAAACGCAAAAGTGGTTAAGAAACTCCTTAAATTTCTGCCCGGAACACACAAGGAAAGTAATTTGTGTCAAAAACATTGCTATGAAAATATTACCACTGTAAACATGATAAATGTGCCCCGAGGAACAAGTTCGGTAGTTGCGAACTTAATATCGGGTACATTTTGTAAAACTAAATTCAGAATAATCTACGTATACAAATTGTACATTCTTTGGGAGTAGGATAATGTATTTTGCTGGTTATACAACACATACTTTTAATATTACATTATCTTAAACTATGTATTAATTTTAGAAATCTTGACGTAGTAGGTCTGTTTGTAAAGGTAAAGTTTTTACGCCTTAGCTAAACTAAAATAGATAGGGGGGTGAATTATGTGGTACCCATATTCTCAAATTGCAGTTAATAATGGATATTTTGATTTTGTTAATAACAGTGCATTTTACTTGGCACCCGGCAAGGAAGTGTTCGGAAAAATTCAATAATCACTTAACATGTTCAATAAAATCCATGTTTAATACTAGCATGATGCTAGAAGAATGCTAGTATTAAACATAAACACATTACACATTAAGCTAGAATACCTATACTAAAGAAAACGTGAATTCGATAACTATAGAAAACAAGACACATTAAATGAACGGCATTTCACCAACACTGTTACAACAAATAAATGTGTGAACAACAAACAATGCGACTATATTGATACAAGATGTTTCGTATTTACGACTACGAACGTTAGCGAATGTTATGCCATAGTGTTCAACTATAAGGTTTTATTACAGCTATAGAGAGCCAAGGAAGCTATAACACGGCATAGAAGCGGCACTATTATACCACAAGAACCCGTCCGCAAGTTCCGTGCCAATAGTGTAAGTCAAATTACGTGTCCTTCTGTCGATTCGTATATTCGCTACTTCGCGCGAAAACATTTCGGCTCGCTAGTGGTTATAATATTTTTACCTCGTGCTTCAGTTTTATTGCTGGTACTAACTAATGATAAAAGTTGTGAAATAGAGAATTTTGCATTTTCAACACACAGATATTTGTTCGCTTTTATCGTGGGTAGTTTCAGAAACATATTATCGCTTAGTGATTTATACTTCACTGATAACAATGGTTTAACAAATGCAAAACGATTGCTATAAAAATGTTTGTGTATCGCAATTTCGACACAATTTATCTATATTTTATTTTTTAGAATTCATTTAAAAATAGAGGTAAGCGAGCGCTGTGGTCTTTAGAAATTACGTTTGATTATAGATACGTATGTAGATAGAGAAAACGTGTTTCGTTAGCTAAAAGCTTTTTTATGGCTAAGTTTTACAAAGGCTTTTGATATATTTATCTAAAACAATTCGCAACACCAATGCTTGTCCTTTGAAGCTAAGATCTTCGACAAAACCAAAACAGCTCACTGTTTAAGCTGTTCTAGTAGTAATAATACTGTAAAATACTAGTGACTTGAACGCCTCCGTTTAGACCCGAGGCGTCGCTTCAGTTCTATTGACCCACGTCAAGCCATAACTACTCATAGAGTCCTACAAGGTAGTGTTGTAAGCCCAGTTCTTATAACCCTCATGATATAAGTAGAAGCAAAAGAATTTACGAACAACTTGAAAGTGGTCGGACAAAAACTTGATGACCTCATCATCCCATCCATTACCCAAGCACCAAACATCGCGCCATCACCAAATCTCGCAACAAAAACGCACTTATCCCCTAATCACAAATGGACACAGTCAATACCGAAAAAAGCAACTTCTGACATTGCTAATCCTAAGTGCAAGTTCCTGATAAGGATTATACGGGACCCTAATGGTCTTTATCCCCCGGCTGAGCAAATGTCCATAACTTAACCGTGGCGAGGCTGGCGCGACTTAACTTTGGGAGACGTCATTTCTCAAAAGCCATGACGAGGGCGTTAGGGATGTAACGCAGTCGATTCTAGTGTAATCGAGCTTAAAATTGAACTTTTTGGTACTATCGATAGAAACTTTGCATTCGGTATTTGGATAAAGTTACTTAAATCCCAAGATTTAGGTACACTACAAATCAAAATTAACGGACGCCAGATAAGTAGAGATTCTATTTATCTACGTAAATAGAACAAAAATTCACGTACAAAGTTTTTTTTTCTGACTCCAAAGTTAGTTATTTGGTCAACATTTATTTATACAATTTTAGGTGATTTCTTTTTGTAGTAATAAAATAGTATAAAGTAGTTTTGATTGATTTAACTAAATATTATCACAGATTATTATAAACATGAAGAAATGAGATTATTATAACTATTAAATGTTGTAACTCTACATTAGTCAGTACATCACTAGCCACACCTAAAGCTTAATAACTATAGGTAGACGTGGAAAAATGTAGCGTTTTATTCCATCTCGTTAATGTGGACTTATCGCTGCTCATCCTTATGCTCTATTGTTCTGAAGATTTCTAAATATTTATCTGTTTGATTGATAGGCCAATGTAAAAATTGATAAATCGCTGTTCATAATTTTCTACTTAATGAAAAAACTTTCGCAATTTTAAAGTTTGCTTTGTTTTGTTTTTCTGTTGTGTTTTTAAAGCAATCATCTTTTCTTTTTTTCTAGCTCTGTATAATTTATTTTATTTACTTTATTATGTAGTACCTACGTTCTTGACTTTAAAGTGGATTCAGTTTATTATAAACTACGTTCTCGGCCTGTTATCAGTACTTTTAGTTTATTTTGAAACTAGAACACCCGTTGCATAACACGTTTGGAAATTCGGTCAATGATAGACATTGAACATCTCTTGAGAACAACGTAAGTGGTTTTTAAAACTTTATATTCCTTCTTTTATATTCGTCTTAACAAAGACAGGTTACCTATATCACAAATATTTTGATTCACAAGAATTCTAATATTTACCTACAAAGTTTTTAAAAGGTTCAGGTTAAAGGAGGGAAAGTCACTATAGCTCCGAAAATACTTCTGTTCTCTTTTTAATAGTTTCTAGTTATTGTCGTAAGTTATAAGAAGTAGGTACCTATCTAAATTTATCTCATCTTTACATTTTCAATTTGGTAGCAATTAAACTCTTATGTATAAATAGGTACGAGTCTCCACGAAGTCTGCTAATTCAATTTTGTCTAGTCTTAGTTTAACTTTGCCTCTAAATGTACTAGTAAGCATAGTCAGACACAAAACTAACTTCTCAAATTCGTCTCTTGTCAAAATGTCAATGTCACCTTCAAAAATGTTTCCATTTTGAAACCGTCAGACGCGCTCAAATTTTCATTATACGCACAGACGGACGCGCAAGAAATAGACGGGCTGAGTGCATACGACGCGACGCACAGGGATGGAGTAAGGAAGTTTTCATTTTTTTATTTTTTGGGATATAATTTTTTTTGGAATCGGCACATAGAAAATATTATGTAGGTGTGCGCTAGAAGATCAGCTCAACTTTTTGATCTCTACATATTTTTCTTTTTGATTAATATCAGGTACTGAATGTTACGTTATAATTTTATATTCACGTCACATAAGATAATGTATACTAGTCATAAGTACCTACGTATTTGAAATATTCCGAATAGGTACACTTTTTAGGGCCTGCTGTTTTAATAAAATAATTACTAATTAGGTATATTTTATTGGAATTAATCTTAATTAATTTGCACTTTAGCCAATAATTCCTGTTTAAAACAATGCCACAAGCGTTATCTTCTGCCTCAGTTTTCTTTTTCGACTGGACATATAAAAATATAAAAAATAACGTCCAGAATGCATCTCTGCGCCCCATACTAATTGCTGCGAGTGCATGTAAAGACGCCGGTGACGCTCCGGATCAACATAATGGCGGATGGGGGTAGCAAAGGGAACGTACGGGAACGCACGGGAACGTATGGAAAAAAAGGAAGCGCCGCGGGCGTAGCGAAGATTCGGTTACAAATTGTTTTGTTTTGAGATAGTTTTAGCGACGCGTAGTTCAATGAGTTAAATTTCAGGAGACTGTATCTTATTTTCTTAGGAGATTAGGATATGACATTGTTGTATGACATATTTTGGTGGATATTGCAGTCTTTGTAAGGAGTCTTTGAGAGATTTTTGGTAGAGTCAATTAATTGTTTCAATTGGTTAATTCAGAGAGAATCTCTGAAAAATATTATAAACAAAGTTATATTTTATTTAAATAAACAATCAAATTGTCAGTCACTCATAATATTAGTTTTTAAATTATATCTACACAATAATATTACTAAATACAATAATCCACACAGTAGCATATCAGTCGTAACTTTGGACTTTCCGCACGAAATAAAAGCGAGTTTTGCAGAGTGTCTGTTACACTTGAAATGCTGTCGAGTGTACCTACGCGCTACGTCAACAAAAATAAACAAAAAATACGTCAGTTAAAAACCTTAATTTAACAATTCGTGAGCACACAATCACAATTGCCACTTAATTTTCGTATTTCCAACAAAAAAACAATTGAAATCGAATTACACACTACATAATCGAGTTTGCTCAATCGATATCAGTTGAACCACAAAAACATTCGACGACTCCGATTAGATTCCAGGCTGTTTATATAAATATCTACTTCATTTCACGGTCCACCAGACCACACACAGGCATCTCAACAAAAACCACACTAAAATACGTAAATTGCTATCTTTTATATCTGTTAGTATCTATTTACTAGCTACAATACACACTCGGTTCTATGATATTAGATTGTAATCATGTTCTGGAGATTACTACTCATAAAGATTACATAACTACTACTAAAATAAAACAAAGTAAATAACAAATCTACAACATCTAAGAATAATCCAGGTTGCAGATTAATCTTGAAGGTTCTCTTACTAGCAGTTAAACATAATTAATTATACATTTTCATAAAATAGGTACCTACTACATTTCATATACCTACCACATTTCAGTATTTCCCAAATAATTATTTCCACTCTTGCTAAACTAACGTTCGTTGGTAAATAAACAACAGTAATTTCATGCTCAATACAAACTTACCACACAGATAGGTATTTAATTAGTCTCTAAAATAATTAACGGATGAAAGATAAATTATGATAAAATACATAATACTAAATTGTAATATACTTGTATACTTCTAGTGAGAAATCACTCGTGGGTTCGTCTAGCTAAAGGACAAGTCCTTGGTGCGTTAAAAGTATCAAAACTCCTTATACATAGTCGAGCGGATATAATCCTTGAGAGGTGCTCTACGAGTAGTCGCTAAATAATATGGATGGATTTTTATATCAGCATTTTTTGCGCTTTTGCGCTTGTTTTTGCGCGTGAGCACTACATTTCGCGCTTCGGTAAACAGAACGCGCGTGTAGGTGATTGCTCACTCGTAGGTGGTCCGTTTATACGAACTTAATCGCGCATCTACGCTTGTATAAGATCGCGCATCTGTGTGCCTACCATGAGTTTACGTTAGGTGTACTCGCTAGCGACTGCGTAAAAAAATGACATTTAAATGTATAACATATTGTGCAGCGCCCCTAGCGGCTACTTTCAAGAAATAAAATCTTCATAAAGTTTTTTGACGTATTCGCTAGCGAGCTCACCTAACGTAAACTCATGGTAGGCACACTGATACAGGATGTCTTCACTCGCACAAAACGAGCGTGTGACGTGCTTTTACGCACTTATGTATAAAAACTTGCTTATAAATTCCGAAAAGACTAGCTCCTCGATGCAAAATGGGACAGTAATTCCGAAATCGCCTCGTACCGGCGTTTCTTTCTATGTACTAGTTACTTCGCTACGTAAATGGGACTATTTCCACCTCTCGTTCCTACCATTACAACTCATGTAGCCAGAATCTACAACATGACCGCCAATAAAACCCAAGCAATGAAGGCTCAATCGCTCCGTGAAGCGATTTCGAAATAAGAACTGTCACGAATGTTACTTTGTCCTGGATTTGAAAGATCCCTTAATAATCCTACAACTCTGGTAGATTGAAATCTAGAAGACCATAAAGACTTATAAGGTTAAAAGAGTTCTTTATGCTCTTACAGCTCTGGTTGTAAGATTTTTTTATGTGACAATAGGCAAACGAACAGACGGATCACCTGATGTTAAGTGATTACCGTCATCCATAGACACCCTGTAATGTGGAAGACCATAAAAAATTAACGATAGCATTTGAAAAATTCTTACCCTCTGCGGAGGTAGTATTTGTCGTGGACTGTGCGTGTGCTTGGGCGAACAGGAGCCGTGCTTCTCTTTTCTGTGGGATTTGAGACCTCGCAGCAGCCTGGAGAACGTTGTTACCTTCTTCTTGGCGGTGCCGAGGCAGTTATCTGTGAAAAAGAAGATAGAGTAAGAAGATATAAAGTCACTTTATTCAAGCATGTATTTTTATAGCTACCAATGTCCAATGTATGGAGCACACTTGTATTCATTACTAGGCTTTCCCACTCGGACTTTAATGGAAAGTTATCCAACTAAGTAGGATTGTCCTTTATGGATACGCTATAACATTGTATTAAGTTTTATCAAACTTCGTGTAAGTAGTACCTATAGTTTCATGCCCGTTTTCACCATCAATCCCTAATTTTTAAATGAGACTATAGGGGTCTCTTAAAAATAAGGTATTGATGGTGAAAAGGGGCATCATTCTTACAAACTTTTCCGTTCTATTTAGTTCATTATCATCTGTCCATTGCTAACTAATTGTGACCAATCCTACGTCCATGGATATGCTGTGTAAATAAGATAACCATAGACATCTATTTAAAAAAAAGTACGTAATATATCGCCTCCCTAATAACTTATGAAAATGCAAAATCTATTACAGAAACTCAAAAGAAAAAGTTAGGCCACACGACAGCCAAATGAGCAAGATAAACGATTGGCAGTTACAGCCTCGACCTTTAGTTGAAGAAGTCGTTACATAAATCAGGCTAATAATGTTAGTATTACATGTGATGTAACACGCTCGTTCAAGGGCAAATACGGTCAAGTCGGTCAATCCAACTAACTAGTAAAGTGAAACCAGTGCAGAATAAGTTAATTTGAATACTTTGTTTGGTTCTTGTGACTTTGAAATGACTCTAAAATCACCATCATCATCTCAGCCATAGGACGTCCACTGCTGAACATAGGCCTCCCCCAATGATTTCCATGTTGCCCGGTTGGTAGCGGCCTGCGTCCAGCGCGTTCCTGCTACCTTTACGATGTCTTCGGTCCACTTTGTGGGTGGACGTCACACGCTGCGTTTTCTGGTACGCGGCCTCCACTCCAGAATCTTGCTGCCCCATCGGCCGTCAGTTCTGCGTGCTATGTACCCTGCCTACTGCCTGACTCTTAAAATACTAATACTCAACCCATAAGGGTTCTTTGTGACTAACTTTCCATTTAAGTTCAGTTTGGGCACTTAATCATAATCCTCACATTCCTACGCGTACCTACATAAATACAATTTACGACCTAAACATTAAACACACACAACACATTTTAGCGTGCGCAAAACGTCTAGGTATTTTTAAGGTACGAACCACAAGCGTTTATTCCTAATTCACCCGTACTTAATCGACTCGCGGCCAATAAATCAAGTACTTAGCACCTAGAAAATACCTTTTCCAAACAATCGCGTGAAGCGGAATATTCTAAGGGCTTAATGGCCTTGCGTTTCTTTATTGCTTACTAAGTTACCACCTGCCTGGTTCGTGTGACATGATAATAAACAACTGGTTTACGGTACAAGTATCACAAAAAACGGCTACTAATTAGCTCACTACGAGTACATTTGTGTTACTTTTCAACCGACTTCAAAAAAAGGAGGAGGTTCTCAATTCGACCCGTATGTTTTTTTTTTCTATGTTTGTTACGCGATAACTCCGCCAATTATGAACCGATTTGAACAAATCTTTTTTCGGCGTATAGGTAATACCTCAAGGGTGGTCCCATTTAAATTTAATAATAAAAAAAACAACCCCCAATGGTGGAAAATTGGGGATGAACTTTTTTATACGCAATATCTCCGCGGATTATAAACCAATTTGAACGATAATTTTTTTGTTGAATAGGTATTATCAAAAGGGTGGTTTCATGCGAATTGGAAGAAAATATTTCACCCCCAAGGGTGGAAAATTGGGGATGAACTTTTTTATACGCAATATCTCCGCCGATTATGAACCAATTTGAACGATTATTTACGTTACTACGCGAGAACAATTGACGATCAGTAACGCCATAAATTTACTCATGCATGCACACTTTTTTTCATTTTTAGCTGCATGAGCCAGAGTAGAAATAGAACTACAACCTAGACTGCATTTCGCTTAAAATCAGGTGAGATTGCAGTCAAATAACTGCTTTGTTCTGAATAACAAAAAACTCTATTACTCGTATTCCCAAAAATATCTTAGAGAAAAATATGCGAACATCAGGCCTCAGTCCTCACATGTCTGTCTAGCCTAATCTTCCATTTTCTTTGGTAAGCTAGAGAGAATCGTCCTCCTGTAGCAGGTCATTTAGACCTGATGATGATGACTTTATTCAATATTACTACCGAATTTAATGAGTCCTCTTCTTTAATCTCCTGTTTATTAAGGAACTTCTCATTGTTACTTGCCAGTCTGTACTTAAAGGGTAACTTATAACTGCAAACACAGCCAACACGCGATGTCTCATATCGGAAATGTTTTCATTATAGTGGACAGGGCCGGATCTAGGTACCGTTGAGTAAGTCGGGGCCCCTGAAGTATCAGGCCCGACCAACTGTTATATCACGGGGCCCATGAAATGTGTCAGTCAAGTTAGTTAGATTATAATTATTTAATAGAGGATTCCAAGATTGCTAATGCTTGTAAAGGAACCACTCAGAAATGAAAGTATTCAACAGGAGTATATATCTCCTGTCGAATACTTTTTGCATGCAAATGCCGTTGACTTATTTATTTACATTTGGAACAAAAACTCTTCTCCTTACAGGCTTAGATAACAATATTTCTACGAAAGTTTTATATGCATTTCAAGCATTGGCTCCAAAAAGTGAATGTCTTGCTGAGAAATAATTAAGTACTTTACTCTTATTGAAATCTCAAAAATCTTTTAAGAACAGTTTCATAATTGTGTAACAGTGTCTTTAAAAAAATATATTTTCCATGTCATCTGACACAATTTAATTTCAGGGCTTTTAGTCCTATAAGGGCCCTTACGTTCACTAACTAAAAATAGAGGTAGCGCGTTTTCTTACATAACTTTTCAATTCCTATCATTGGAGGTCCGAAAATATTTCTCATACAATTTGATACCATAATGATCATTCTTCATAAAAAATTTAAAACCTACATATTTAAAAACATAATCATTGATATTCATAATATCACTAATCATACACTTAGTTTTTACTAATATTTGTTTTCATATATTTTTCTATACTAATGATCGAAACTCATAATCATTCGAATAAATAACTATAATATTCATAAATGTGATGTATCCTAATATTTGTTTTCATAAATTTATTACTCATAAGTGTATTTATCCATATTATTGAAAATCATGATGTCTATATTCGTATTAAATCGTATTTTAACATTAAATTAATTTGAAATGGTCCAAAACAGGCAATATTTTGTGCCACAAAACTAACGTGACAGAAACGAATCGCTGCAAAACCGACTCCACGTAGTCTTGTCTGCCCTACCCCTAGAGTGTAATTTAAAAGCCGGAGGCGCGGAGGGAGGGCAGCCCTCGCCCGCTGTAACGAGGCTCAGGCGCCCGGGTGAGCTGGAGCGGCTGAGGCTGGTCGCCGAGGCGCCGAAGGCGCCGATGGCGATCCAAAAAGCCGAAGCTGCGGAAGCAAGCGTGGGTGCCTGAGCCTCGTTACGCAAGGGCGGAAGGGCTGCACATCCCGCAGCGCCGGAGACGAGGAGATACCAATGCATGCTGCATGCTTGCTTTCATGCTGCATGCTCTGCATGCTTATCTACTCTATTAAATTATATATGATTTTTTTAAAGATACGAGTATGTCTGTTATAAAGTAAATTATTCTGAACAACAACATTATGAGTTGAAGTATGTTCTTAGTAACAACATTATTAATTAAAACAATATGATCAATGAATGTTATGAAGAAAAAAGATCTGAAAATAAAAATTATGTATTTTAAATGGTTCTTGGTAGTAACAGTATTGATAAAAAAATTATGATTACTAACTGTTATGAGCTCCGATGGTAGTAATAAAAATGTATGAATAAAAAAAGTATGAAAAATAAAATTATGAAGAGAGATTATTATGAACACAAATCGGTAGTAAGACAAAGAATAGGATTTAGAATTTTATGTGAGCCAATATAGAACCAAAAATAGAACCAGGTTAGAGTACGGCCCTGTCGTGCGATAGCTAACGAGTAGCTAAATAATGTATGAAGGCATTATGTATGAATCGAGATACTCTCGTTAAGTAAATGGAGGCTTTGTAGAATAGTTCTTATCTTTGACGGATTAAGCATGTGTGGTAGACATTAGCCTGATTAATAGTTGAGCTTTGATTGGGATATCAGGAAAACGTTTAATTGCGCCATGTTTTGTTAGATCCTTTATGGTGTACTAGCTTTCCGCCCGCGGCTTCGCCCGCGTGGAATTTTGTCTATCACAGAAAAAAATTATCGCGCGCGTCCCTGTTTCAAAAACCGGGATTAAAACTATCTATGTCCTTTCCCGGGACTCAAACTATCTCTATGCCAAATTTTATCAAAATCGGTTCAGTGGTTTAGGCGTGACAGCGAGACAGACAGACAGAGTTACTTTCGCATTTATAATATTAGTATAGATACTGAGTCTTTCTTTGACTTGGCACAATTTTAGCTCGCCAAGTCGCTGGATTGAACTTTTAAATATGTTTTCTTCCATCGACTGGGCCCACTCTAAGATTCTAGAGTAGATTTTTGTTAATTTGGTGTTTAGTATTTTAATAAAAACATTGAAGATGGGCCCAAGTTACTGGAAGAAAACATATTTAAAAATTCAATCCAGCGACTTGGCGAGCTAAACGGGCCAAGTTACTGGAGGACTCGTATATAATAAAACCAAATTCAAGATCAAATTACATGACAATTTGATTAGTTTAAGACCGAGTACTTGTAGTTCGTTTATTAGTTACAAAAATATTTATTTGTAGCTGTACCAGTAATTTAATAGGTAGGTACGCGTATAAATCGTTCCTAGAATAAAGCCTAGTAACCCAAGTATTCATGACTACTTTCTATTTCAGTATTTTATTTATGTGGGACCACGTGCGTCCTTCAGAGAGCTTAAGCTACATTTCTTATGATAAATTAAAATAAAGTTTACTTCAGATATTAAGGCAGCGCACCACCAAATTTTGACCGTAACTATAACTATAATTGGTGTTTTTTTATAGAGTTTGATAGATTTCTGACGTTTCTCAAAGTTAAAGTAAGATGGTGCAACCCAGCCTAAGTAAGGCTTCATATTGTTCATTAGTAACAAACATAGTACCTACATAGATACAAAATTAAAACCTAAGACCTAATTAGTCTGATTCTAATTGATACATGAATAAACATTAAGGCTGGGTTGCATCATCTTTCTTTATTTTTAACAAATGTCAAAAATCTGTCAAACTCCATACAAAAACGCCGGTTAACGGTCAAAGTTAGGTGGTGCAACTTAGCCTAAAACTGATATTTTAAATCTTACGATGACGTACGAGTAAGTATAAACCACACAATCAACCTCGTTCATAATTTTCCAAAAGCATAACAAAAAACAGATTGGAACAAATTGTACGTTTGTTCAACACCGTATCTCGACTTCAATCGGGGTGAATAGAATTTTAATAGCGAAGGAAACCCTCATCAAAACATAGCACGTAACGCACCTTACAATTACGTATTTAGGTATACACTTGCAGTGTTACAACTGTATTTTTAAGCCACTAAAGTTGAATTTTGCGTGTTTTTTCAAGCTGTGAAGTCAAAGTGATATCACTTACCACTGGGGGGGAATTCGTAGAAGTACGCCGAGCGGGGACTCAGACAACTGAAACAAAACAACATTCAGTATTAGTACTGATTCAGNAAACTTTAGCCATTGAAAGTAAGGTTCAATAATTAGCAAATGACCTCCTCTATACGCGTATTAGCTATGGCGGGTTCAGTTCCAGTCACCCTGTAGGGTAATTCCAGGATACATGCCCCAGTGGGATAGGTGCCGCGATTTTAAGTAAACTATGTTACAAGCAACTTAGCCTAAAGCTATAGTACGTATAACAGAAAGGGACCTCCCCGTACCACTTTTCGCCTCGCAAACCATCAAAGAGTGCGTTCGTTTGGCCAGTGAGAGCAAAAATCTTCCACGGCCAGACCTTAGCGAGAGTCGAAATAATATTGGTAAGTATCTTTTAATGGATAATTTTTTTGTCAGCTGTAAAATGAAGCAGATTTTTAATATAATTTGATAGACTATCTTATAAATGATAAGGGATAGCTATGTTTAATTCGATTTTTAGTGTTATTATATTTTTTATTAAAAAAGGCACCTATCCTATGCTAAAAGGATAGTTGCCTAATTATTTTTGGGTATAGATGCCCTTAGGGCCATGTCCCATGCACCTAGGGGCTTCTATCCTAACCTGCTCTTTTTGTCATAGGTGGCAAGTAAGAAGAAAAAAAGAATGTAGTACGGCTAACCTTAGGAAAGTAATAATCGATCGAATCGCCCTTCTGATCGAATTACCTTTTTACCCGACTGCGCTAGAAGGAGGGTTATGTTTTTCGGGTGTACTATGTATTTTTTTTAATAAAAAATATTAAATTTCGTTTTAATTAATTTACTAACAAACAATCTTAAATAATAATACTTGGCTTATTTGATTTCAAAATGCATTTTCATCCTTTGAATTCAAAAACTGTATTAACGAGTCATCTATCCCTGCGTCAGGCATCTATCCTTTGAAGCAATCATACAGTGAGTCTTCTATCCCCCACATTAGGCGTCTATCCCACTTTTTAGAGGTCAATTAAAATGGTATTTACTCAGAATCGGTATAACTTAAACTAAAATCATTATAGTAATATCATAGTCGAAAGACCAAAGTTTACAGATACTAAGGTCAAATTGTTGATAAAAACTTACTGACTGAGTTACAGAGCTGTTTCAAAAAGTGGGGCATCTATCCTGGACTTACCCTATACGAATATGTTTCGATACTTACGTAATGCGCATTTCATATAACACAGCAAAGGTAGAAATAATTTCTAAAATAAAGGTACAGTCGACGTCAAATACTTAAGACCCAAAGTGACCAAAAAGTTTTAATAAAACCAGACGTGCTACGAACTTTTTGGCCACTTTGGGTCTCACGAACTATTTGACAACCATGAAGTATACGCATTTATCTTCAATGGACCTTTCACGAGAACTATGAACTAGAACTTGCCAGTAATATTTTTTCAAGTCTGTACAAACGAGAGCATATCAAGCTAAACACTGAGGCATCTTGTGTAGTTTATTAAGTGCCATTTTGCAATTTAAAAATATATTCTGTAATACAATCCGCTCCAATAGAGTAAGTAACCTTCTATTTCTTGTATTTAAAGGATAGAAATCTACTCAAAATGTAAATAAAAGTGTCTCTATATTATTTGTGATGCAAAGCGCATTTTTTCTCTACATCAATAAGTTATCAGAATAATCCCGCGTGTGTTATCATTTATTTACTTTTAAAATCCGGTCCGAACTGGATTCCGCTGCCTTAACAATTCATACGCAAAGCACCGGCGGGTGGATAAAACAAAACACAATCGCATTACCGAATCGAGAAATAATTTGCGATACCGAGTAAATATTTAATCGATGCGGACGATGCGGAAAGGTAAAAACCGTCGGTAAATCGGAATTTGGCGGTAAATGAGAAATTAATCGACATCCACATTAACAATGCCGCTAATGATCATTGTGAGTGGACTGAGCGTCGTTTAATGAAGAGATAAATTCATAAAGGGCTCAATTTGATGTCTGCGAGTTAACCAGATCCAATTTCGCGATAATAACCCATTCGTCAGTTACCTGCGTCCGTTTTTCGAGTGGCACTGTAATTAAACTGACGTTACAGATTTTGTGACGATCATTGAGGCTTTAATTATTTTTGAATGCACATTTTTTGCGGGTCTGCGGGCGATTAAAAGGTAATTGAGATCTTTAATCCTTAAACTTGATGGTAAATAATTATCATACTTATAAAAGCTTTATATGATGAGTATAATGACTCAATAAACAATTTTAAGATGTCAAATAAGATCTTCCATATTATTTGTAATTATAGAGTTTTAATTGCAAAAAGGGTTGCAAATACAATACTTTTTCTAGATTTTTGTTACATCTAACTTTGACAGGTAGGCTGTCAAAGTTCGTTTTTAAACTACAAAACCTAAAAAAACTAGGTACGTTTTATAGACTATGTGAATGTCCACGTGTTCCAAAACGCGAGCAGAAGCTAGTGAGACCTAAGGCTGAGTTGCACCACCCAAGTTTAACCGTTTCTATAACAATTACAGGTGTTTTTTGTAAAGAGTTTAAACAGATTTTTGACGTTTGTTAATGAAAGTAAGATCAACTTCAACTGAGCCATAGTGTAATTTTATACCACTCAGGAAACGGGCAATGCAGAAGATGGTAGAGAAAATATTATAAAAAAGTCCCAACAATCTTCAATTAACACCAGATTCAATCTAATACGTATAACTTACTCGCAGAGTCAATAAGGTCAATAAACTTCAGTTATCGAATAGCGAAGCGATGTCACAAATCAAGTTAGCCACTTCCCGATTCGAAACTGCAAATCAATGCACTATATCATAACATATTCGCCGTCTAGATGAATATTCAGTCCCCAGCCAATATTGTGGTAACATTCATTTATTAGTTCGGACGTTCAATCGGAAATTTTATTAAATTAACTACTACCTATTACCGCAATGCAATGTTCCAGCATTTAGTATTTAATATTATTATTTGTTGTAGCTAACTTGGCACAAAATAACTAGCAAACAGATCAATATACACACCTGAAAAACCGTAATTAATTGCATAAAATAATAAAGACCATAGTCGGCATGACCATAATAATTCAACTTTGAAATAATAAAGTATTTAATGTATACCTGGTTTCCACAATTTTAAAAAATATTTTGTTATTTTATAAATACAGGGTGAATTTCAATTGTTGGCATCCTTTTTACGAAGACCCTACTCGTGATACAGAATACATTTCCCAAATGATTTAAACACCCTGTATAAATTGCGACCTGCACTTTGAATTAGCACTGCAACGATTTAAGCATCCGATAGCATAGCAATGTTTCCATGTGAAGGTGTAAACAAAATAATAAATAAGGCTTATGTACCAACCTATGTATACTAGGTGGGTGGCATCAAGATAAGGTGTCCGTAAATCTTCAATTTATTAAATAACTTGATAGTGCAAGGTATTTACAGCATTTCAATATATTTGACATGTAATATGACGTACCCACCCACATACTATGTAACACTATCTTAACGAGCTTACTCGTATGTAAATTACATGAATTGAATATTATTTAATCAAATTAACGTCTCAACATTGCCGTGTACAGGCATATAGAATATCTTTTGCATTTATTACTAAGGCTGGGTTGCACCATCTTACTTTAACTTTGACAAACGTCAAAAATCTGTCAAACTCCATACAAAATACACCGGTTATCGTTATAGTTACTGTCAAAGTTAGGTGGTGCAACTCAGCCTAAAACGTTGGTTAACGTTAAATTAAATGAACTGAGTTACATCAATGAAGCCATTCAATTTAGTATGTTTGACTGTAATACGATTTGAAGTATTACTTAGTTAATTCAAAGTTGGTAATTTTGTTTTTAAATAACTCTATAATATGTTAATCTCTGAAACTACTACTGGTAAACTTAAAAAGCTAGATTTTGCATTAAAATATGTGGATATGTTAGACTACTTTTAAAAGGACGAGACTCAGTTATGTTAACAATATCATTTAGGTATCTAAAGAAAACCCTGTCGGAAAACATAGACAAAATAAAATAAAAAACACTTCCCCATACTTTTAATAGTTGACAAACTATTTTTTGGCATGGTGCTGGTGAGTAATTTCAGATTTACTTATTTGTTTAGCTCAATATAAAAAGCACCACAGTAACCCCTTTCATAATCACACTGTATAGTATATTGTAATTAATATCAGCCAAACCCCTCGTAACCGCTAAAAGCCAGAAACATCACAGAAATTTCGTGAATACCTTCTCGAATTTTCCAACAAACGTATTGAATTTACTCGTATACGCAATTTATCCGCGTTTGAATCAAGATATAGTAGTAGCAAAATTTCGTAACACCATTGACACACGTGCCCGTTACTCAATTAACACTGCAGACGGAGCCGGCTAACAAGCTCAGTGAGATTGCGAGGAGCGAGCACAAGCGAGATAATACACTAGTGCTGGGACACCATCGATAGATCGAAAGCTTTGTCGATAATTTTGCAAAATTTCGTACATTTACAATCAATTTACACCACAGACGGAGCCGGCTAACAAGCTCATTGAGATTGCGAGGAGCGAGCACAAGCGAGATAATACACTAGTGCTGGGACACCATCGATAGATCGAAAGCTTTATCGATAATTTTGCAAAATTTCGTACATTTACAATCAATTTACACCACAGACGGAGCCGGCTAACAAGCTCATTGAGATTGCGAGGAGCGAGCACTAGCGAAATAATACACTAGTGCTGGGACACCATCGATAGATCGAAAGCTTTATCGATAATTTTGCAAAATTTCGTACATTACAATCAATTTACACCACAGACGGAGCCAGCTAACAAGCTCATTGAGATTGCGAGGAGCGAGCACAAGCGAAATAATACACTAGTGCAGGGACAGCATCGAAAAATCGAAAGCCTTCGTGGTCGTTGACACCGCCATTAGCCACCAATCGTGATCGCTGAATAACGTTTGTTCAATAACGT